TGTGTTGGAAGTGAGTATATTCTAGCAAACTCACTCACAAGTGTTGGTGTGCACTCTTCGCTACTTCCAAGTAATACCAGCGTTATTGCATATCGGTTGCGAATAGCGGAGTAGACGTTGGCAGTTTGAGTAGTTTTGACGTCGGTGATTTCCTCGTAAGGAATCCATTTCAGTCTTAAGTCTTCATCTTCGCTTGCCAAGGAGGATTCAACCAAGTTGGCAATGGCTGGATTATTAGCAAGTGACAACATAATAATAGTTGATTAAAAGTCTTATCTCTCAAGTTAAAGTGTCAACCCTTAATTGTGTTACATTGCACGCAAATCGTGATTGTTATACTTGTTGTACTGTATATCTCATAGAAGAATATCGATATACACCACAACTCTGTCTCGCTTTTCTACAACTGCATCGATTATCGAGGCATGCACTTTACAGACATCTTGGCTGTCTACTAGATACGACCCCAACCACGCTTTGATTTTTGCAGCTTTCCTTAATGTTATTTGCTGTGTAGGTATCAGGAAAATCTGCTGTTTCCATTCGTTGGCGCCGTAAGTAACTTTCAGAATTTCAAAAGTATATCCTAATCGGTATTTCCCATTTGTTTTAAAGCAACTTTCACTGCAAATGTAATGTTTTATGCTCTCTCAGCTCCGTAAGAAAATCATAACTCAGAGTTATTGTTTACATCATGGTAATGTAAAAAGAGTGCCGCAATGGAAAACCAAGACATAACTGTTACTACTGCTGTGAAGAATTTTCTCGACTACCAAGTCCTGGTAGAAATGTCAATCGCATTACTCAATCGCTTACGCTTTTCCAGCTGAAACGAGTTACAAGTCAGTCTATCGTGATTTTATTGCAGGTCTTGAAAACGATAGTACATTGAAATTATTAAAATATGATGCATTCCTGCAAGCGGTGGCATCAATTAACGCCTTACATACAAATCATGAGTCCGCGAACGGATTTATGTGACACGTGCCAACATTTTCGGAGCGAGAGACTTACTAAAAAAATTTAGTTCAAGCTAAGTTAGAGAGAATTTTATTACGACAAAAATACGAACAGCAAAGAAATTTAGTAAATGAGCATTTTATGACGAGAGGTAAAGCTGATTATTGTAGCGTTGATGTTACAGTTACGATTGGGCACAAAACGTTATGTACCATTCCTATCAACAAGTAAGATTTATTAATCTCAGTCCGCGTAAAGTGCATTTATTTGGTATTCAAAAGATGAAGCAGTACGCGAACAAATTAATTACGTTCTCGATGAAAACGAAATTATCGGCAAAGATCCTAATGCATGGTATTCGATGGGATTAAGTGGTTGAATAAAGGCGAAAAGCATTTGAAGATTACTTGCAATAACACGGAAGGACAGAATAAAAATAATGCCATTATTTAATTTTACCTATATTTGGTAATTTGCGGTTATTATGAAAGTATCGAATTAAACTTATGGTACCGGGACATACTAAATTCAAGTGTAATGGCTTCGGATTGATTAAAAAGCTTTATCGAAAAACAACAGTAGATTGTGTGAATCATATTGTTGAGGTTGTGAAAAGATCGAGTACAGCGGGATTAAACAAAACTCAGTGTTATGACAATGGAAAAGGCTTTCAACACTTGGATCTTAATTCCGTGTTGAAAAGTTTTTTTTTTTAAAAACTAAATGATTTACAAAAATATCAGCGTTTTTTTTTTGAAGCAGCTAATCCTGGGGTTGTCAAAGCCCAGCTGGTTGCTAATGGTTCGTATAATGAATTTAATTTGTTGAAAGCAAGGAAAGAAAGTGTTTCCAAAATTACCAAAGAAATTAAATCTTTTTCTATTTTAGTTCTAACCCCTCCTCCGTTGGGTTACAAAAGACAAGAATATCTTTATCATAATATTCGCCCATTTGTTAGAGATGAATTTAAAGACATAGCTTGTCCCAAACCAATCTATACTGATATAAATAAAATATTTCAGTCAACTGCAAATTTTATTACTTTGTTAATTTTTGTTTGTTTCTGTTAAATGCTTTACTATTACATTTAATTTTTAATAATACTAATAGTAAAATATAATATGAATATAGGAATTAAAATTATGACATTTAATAAAAATGATGTAAGTACAATATATGAAGCAAAAGGATGCTCCAATTATTATGGGGTAAATTAAAAGAAATCTGAGGAGGAAAAACTGCTAAAATATTTGAAAGTTCCAAATTAAATGTAGAGATGGAAAACTAGATAAAATTAATACTAACCTTCAATATTTAGCAGAGTTCCTAAACATTTATAAAACTAAAGCCAATGCAAAAAAATATCAACAGTTTAGTTGCTGATTGAATTTTTTTATTAAGTAGTAATATAAAGGTAATCTTATATTAATCCTGTTATAGTTTATATTCATCACATTTTGGGAGCATTAAATTAACAAGTCCATAAGTTATGCATGAGCACATTATTACTTTTCAAAACGTCATCAGTCACACTACAGCCACATCACAATCAGCCTCTCATTTATAAAATGTTCACTTTGTCATATACCATGCAATAAAGTGTTGATAGATAAAGTCCCGTTCTCCCGTTTCCTTCGATTTTAGCAGCTTAAAACGCACAGAATTCAAACAAACAGCATATATCTGAATAACGTGAAGCAAAACGTCATCTCCAGTCAGTTGAACATTCTCACTAGTACGATGAATAACGCAACTAAACGAACTCTGCTACACCCAAAAAACGTCCCGACGGCGTTCGAAAGCGTTTACTGACCGGAATACCGACGCATAGTCCGAGAATAAGTTTGCCTCGCGCCCGTTCTGACAGGTAAGTTAAATGCTGTTGCAAGATATTTACACCATGACGGTATTTGAAGTTATGCTACAAAGAAGAAGCCACGCTTGACCCAAAAACAATGGCAAAGTCTATTAAGGTAGTGTAGAGAAAAGCATAATCGGAAAGAAGAATGGAAACAAATAGTATGGTCAGATGAGTGTCAGATGGCAATTTAACAAACGTACGCACGGAATAGTTTAAGAGTAGTACATCACTAATAAAGATATCATATACATAATCACAGAAGACCTATCTACATACAAAAGCACCGAATAAAAACTAAATTGAAAGGATTTGTGGCCAATTAAATCTGTAATAAATTTTCTTTGAATAGTATAATAATATCACAAACTGTTGATTTAGCGGATTTTTGACCGTGCCCATGTGTATAAGAAATTAAAAATTGTAATAGTAAGTAGAGAATCGTATGATTACACACACGTACAGTACAATAATTACCTTCTAGGGTGTAACTCATTAACCCCAAAAGGTTGCACGAAACAATAGGGGGTTTACTTATTGTAATCGTGTGAGAGACTGACTAATACGATGAGTACGATTCTGTGGGAATAAAAAACAATCGAGACTGAACAAATGTGCGCCTATACGCAAATGTGATTGGGACGCCAATTGTCCATAGGTTAATCGTTTATGGAATGTGCGTTTGTTAATAATGAACTTTTGCGCAAGTGTCAACAATAAACTTGAGTGTAATTGATTTAGATAATCCGAACCTGATATTGTCAATCATTGCTGCAATTGTCAATATTACCGAGCGTTATGGTTATTAGAAAAATGATTTCTTTGTGAGGCAGTAAATAAACATAATCATATTTGTTGTTTGTTTGTTGTTTCCTTGTATTAAACAATTGTCCAAGAGCTGTAAACCTGCAAGTAAAAGGGACTGTTTCTATCTTGGCAGAAACTTTTACATCGACATAGTTTATACAAGCGATTTTTTCTCTTCCGTCAAATATGTTAAAAATTTATGTACTTCATTTACCTTGTATTCCGAAAAGGAATCTGTCCAACCGTCGCGCAGTACTGTACATCCGTGGCCAGTGCATTATTACGAATCAAAAGGTTCGACGTACGCATGTACAATAAATAACACAGACCAACGTATGACAACTATGTGATTAATATCTGATTGTTTATTCAGACAAAAATCAATGGATTCCCTATAATGATGATTTTGTTCCCTTCGAAACAGGGGTAACTTGTTTGTGTATTCTAGAACTGGTTTCAATGTCAATGAATTTCTCCAATAAAGGTTTACCATACAGGATTAAAACTCCCAGACGTACGACTAGAATACTACCAAATGTAGCAAATGATAACGACAGCATTAACACTATGGGATATGGAAACTTGGACATATGGCGCGCTGTAACGAGTCAAGGTGTAAAAAAATAACACAAGGGACGACGCTTATAAATAAAGCCTCCATCGTCTATACTCGAAAAGACACCCAACGCAAACTTACCACTCGAAGCAAAATCCTTACTTTCACGATGTCTGCTGAAAAGTCCGAAAAATCCCAAGCCTTCATGATGAAGATGGTCCAGACGCTCAATGACGGTGCGCTCTGCTTAATGATATCCATCGGCTACCGAACTGGTCTCTTCGAAGCCCTTGCGGAATTTTCCCCGGAATTTGTCACGTCGCAAGCCATCGCTGCAAAGGCCAAACTCAACGAGCGCTATGTCAGGGAATGGTTAGGAGCCGTCGTAATCGGAGGAATTGTCGAATATGATAGCCAAGCAAAGACTTATAGTCTTCCCAAAGAACATGCGCCATTCCTTACCAGAGCGTTCGGAGCTGAAAACGTATCGATTTATGCGCAATATATTCCGATATTGGGATCAGTTGAAGATAGTATTATAGAATGCTTCAAAAATGGTGGCGGATTAAAAGAATCAGCGTTTACCCGGTTCCACGACTTGATGATTGACGAAACTCACCTGGCTGTTGGATCCGTGCTGCACAGCGTCATTCTCCCTGGTCTGCCGATTTTCCATGAAAAACTCAAGAACGGATGCAAACTGGTCGACGTTGGTTGCGGACGCGGCAATGTTATTATTGAACTTGCCAAAACTTTTCCTAATTGTACTTTCGTTGGATACGATATCAACAATAGTCTTATAGATGCTGCCAAGGCTGATGTAGCCTCCTCCGGTCTCACTAATATTTCCTTCCATGTGCAAGATATCGCTCAGCTGCAAGAAGTCGGAGAATACGACGTCGTCCTCACCATACATACTGTACATGAGCTAGCTGATCCAGCGGGTGTATTAAAGCGTATTCATGGCGCGTTGAAGCCTGGTGGAGTGTTCGTTATGCAGGATGTTAGTTTTTCACATGAACTTGAGAAGAACGAGAATCAAATTTTCGGTGTTGGGGTCTATACAGTTAGTACCATACATTGTATGGTGGTCCAGGTTTAGGAATGTCATGGAGAACGGAGAATGCTGTAAAATTGTTAAAGGAGACTGGATTTAGTAAGGTTGAAGACATCATTGAGCTTCCTCATGATCCCAGTCGTGTCTGGTATATCAGCTGGAAATAATAAATGAGAAGAAAACAAAGTATATAATCCAGTTTTAGCTGAGATTAGTTACCATATGTTATTTATATATTTCTTTTATGTATTATCAACTCGATTCACAACGGTGCCAGAGCTGACCCGTTAAATTCGCAATAAAGTCATTTGTATTAATCACAAGTCAATTAAGTCATTTCGCTTATGGGTTTTGTTAAGTTTAAACGTGCGGGAATGTCTGTTAGAGATACGCAATGTGTAAGGATGTATATTTAAACAGTCGGTCATATACATAAAAAAGTAGAGTCAACAATTTATTCTGCCGTATATGCTAACGTTCTCGTGTTACAGCCATTATCCAGTATTTCTGGAATATAATCTTACAGGCTAATATCAATTGAATAGTAATAACGGGTTAGGTCTGCATCTTGACAATGTAATATGATTATGATACTTCATTTCCTTAACCGTTCAGTGTTCTTTAATTGAAGTGTTAGAATTGTTACCGTTACAATAACAATGCAGCTTCCCCACAGTACAGAAATGTATCACATACCAAAATTAGAAAAATGAGAAAACATATGATCTTTAGAAAAAAGGCAATAACCAATAGATGCGTTAGTTGAATGTTCATGTTACTCTATCGCTTCTTTTGAAATAAACAATGTATTAGTATGTGTTATTAAATCAACTCGATTCAATATTCTCTTGCACATCTTCGGTTGCTAATCAACATTCAATTTTCTATGTACATACAACAATGCAACTGTATACTTTGCTGGTTAACTGGGACAGTGTAAGACTTTTAGATGTCAATATACAATACCTTGATCGTCAAATCAGTCATTCGTACATCAGCTGATCCCAATTTCTGTATTTTATTGGTCATGTTCCCAAAGGCACACGATATAAATTTACTTAGCGCCATGCAACGAATAATAATAAGATCCCGACATTCAATTTAACTTTAATAGTTCTTTTCAATTTCAATTAGTTAGGGGACGAAGGTCGTTTCGTAAAGGAAAGAAAATTTTGTTTTGAAAGCGAATCCAATGTTTGGCGATCAATTTCTGCTAATTTTTACGACCGAATTAGATAAGCAATTGCTGTGTTTTGTAAAAGCCCACTTTTCACATTGTCCATGGATCAATTGTATTTACAACAAATTATTTACTTGTTATTATTAACTATCAATTTATCAAAGCAAGACATTAGAAAAGACAAAATATAAATAAACGTTTCAATATTTAATTAAACAGACAAGCGCCATATATTTTTCTGACAGAATATATAAAACCCCATCTGAGCATCCTTGACACAACAAAAAAATTTTTCTTTTTTCATTTTACTTCTTTTGTTTATAGAAGCATAACGTCTTGAAAATTCGCCAATCGAAGACGTTATTAGTTATCAAGCTACACCCTAAACTTAATTTGTAGTCAGAATGGAAATCGTAAAATTGAAAGCGAAAATATCAACGTCAACATTATCCAATTTATTCCAGTCGATGTCGAAGCTCCGTGTTATGTCACACCAAAAGACGCTGTCTATTTGAGTCGTTAGCACAAGCAATTAATTATAATGTCACCTGCTCCCGCTCTAGAAAAATTTCCCTAGTTCCATCGCGTAAACCGAATATCACAGAAGCGACTATTTTGTTTTATGTAAACCTTTCTCAATATGTAAAGACTAATACAAGAAGTGCATACCAATCAACAGTATAACAATATTTTTATAAGAAGTGAAAATCTTCGTTCAGTTTTCAAAATTTATGCTGATATCTCTACTTCTTTAGTTCAGAAATATAAAAATTATGGTGACCAAAAACTCTTTAAAAAGGATGAATTAAAACTCAAAGAGATTGCTAATATTCTGCTTAATTAGAAGATAAAAACACTTTCTTCAACGAACTAAAAGAATATCTAAAAAATAAACAGCTTTCCCTACTGACACCGCGGATGATTACCAAAAAACAGATTATTTCTTTACTTTAAATCCGAAACATGTAATTACCTTCTCTGCCACTTACCAAATTAAGCATGATAGTGTTGAGAAAAAAGAAATAGAAGATAAAATGACTTTAGCCAAAAATGATCAAAAACAAGGTTAAATAAAAAAAGCTATGGAAATGGTGAAGAATTCACAGAAGCAGGAATTATCAATATTCTTCATACCTAACAATCATCAATTTAAATTGATCGTAAAAGTTATCTGATCACTTTTGACTTAAACAAATTGAAAATGCCCACCTTCACCAACGAATTCTATTGTGAATTACTGATCAGAGTTCTCCTCGGCTTCATGCTTTATTATAAACTCCACACCAATAAACTTTACGACATCAATCAAAAGATTGATAAAATAATCAATTTAATCGAGCCTACGAAAAGGCGCGCAATAATAAATCAAGTAAACAAGAATTATTCTTCTTATTAAAGGCCATTAAGCAATGTATTTTTTTTTTAGATACTTTATCTAAATGTAGAGTTTTAGCAGTTTAAAATATTGAATGATTTTAGGATTTCTGCACCATACTAGTAAAGTTTCGTCTTGTACTTATAATTGGGTGTATATCCTACCCATTGTATTACTTCAAATTATCAGCCAATTTGCTAGTAAGTTGCCGACCCAGCTCATCTTGAGTGCCATAAGGTTGTAATCTAACAGAAAAATTGCCTACCATTTCTTGCACCAGTGCTTCATTGGGACAACATATACAATCTTGACTGCATTTAAATCAATCCCAACAGTGTCCTTATCGCGATGCTTGCGGATTTATTTAGCATAAATACATTCGTTTTACCAGCACCTGTCGTGCACAAAGAACGTATTCTCATCCGTCGTGAACGCAGCAGGATATATGCTCTGTTGAGTTTTCAGCACCTTTAAACGCAGCCTGGGCCCATTCAGGTATATCAGAGATCAGTAATTCTTTCTCATCGGCCGCGAACGATTTCGGCACGTGAATTTCCTTATAGCCTTTGAACACTCGCTTAAATGAGTCATCGGTCTTCTTATTGATCATTCGATCGATGACACTTTTGAGTGCAAGTCATTTCCATGGCATTTTCAACAACCCCTTTGCAAGCAGGCCCCCTCACCTCTAACTCGGGAGGTGTGCCAGAAAAATGTGACTGAGGGTTGGATATTAATATCATGAAGATCAATCGCGTCAATACTGACATTTCCCCCATTCATAAATAGACTGACCGTGTTTTACTTTTTAGCTTCACAAACTTCTATATAACCATGGCCTCTAGTCTTGACGAGTTGCAAGAACCAAGACTTAAGTCTACAAAACATTTCGAACACTTGTGTACCTCTGCAATGCGTGACATCCATGAATTTTTCAAGTTGCGCAAAGCATCGTTGTGGTCTCTCCAAAGTTTTATTGCCTACGTTGTGGAACAAGGAGACTATAATCACAGTTTTGAACAAATTCTTCTTGTATTCGAGCATTCACTCGAATTGATCAATGAGCTTCACAACTCACCGTTACCTATCCGAGCACATGCCGTCGCGTATGTTGCGTGGTTGCAGGTACCGTGCATTGATTTCTGTCTTCAACGTTACGCCAATATTTATTAATATTTTGTTCTGGTAGACATTGCCTGGTCAAGGGCTAATTCAAGGTTGTCGAAGGTTCTTTGAGGCCCAAAAACTGCGTAAACAGTCGAATGTGCTCGAGGAAGCTGTCGAGGTAAGTAGATGTTTGCACACGCGTTCTTTCATAAGCGCTTCACCCATATATCACTTTGCAGGCCACCGTCTGGTCTGATATAAAGACCACAATTTTTCAAAATCATCTGAATTCATCGAACCAAACACTGGCCGATAATGAAACGGTATCATTACCTCGAACACCGCCACAAAGACCGCTAGATCTAAATCCCTTAATGATAACGCCAAACAAACGCCCTTTGGAGAATTTGGAAGTGCAAAGGCAAATATTGAATTTGACATGCTTGTCAACTATGTTTACTTCCGCACGCTAAACTTTTTCATGTTTGATAGTTACTATCAAGATGCCTGTATCGTGTGTGCATTTGGGAAAACAAGCGAAGAACTTGAAAAAGAGATCGGCGTAGAATTGGCTCAAAAAGTGCTCGCCGTAAGAGACATTAACCCAGCAGTATGGACACCAGAGCTGGAAAAGTATCTCGACAGCACCTTGGTGGTATGCATCCTTTTCTCTGTAGCAATGATATCGTTTTTGATTCTCTAATTTTTTGTCAATTATAGAAAACCTACGAAGATTTTAAGATGGCTCTTCAAGAGCCATTTGTAGATGACAATAATCGTTTCCGTTTATATTGTGAAAAGGTTCTCCTCGATTTGTAAGTTTGAACTTTATATATTAGTGACAAGGAAAGGGTCAATCTGACACTAATTATGAAATCTCCTAATATCCAAAGTTACCACTTAACAGATATCAATCGCTCACTGAACCGTAAGATCAGCGAGCGCAAGTACATCGTCTATCATATAGGGCCGCTGTTTAAGTACTATGAAGCAACATTTGGAACAGTCGAGTTCGATTGGGTTGAATCGCATGAACGAGCTACCAAAATAACAAAGTCTGCGGATAGTTCGGGCATCGTGCTTGTTGATGCCAAAGGGACTCGGACCTCAGATGACAAAGAAATCTGGCACTTGGAGGTTGCGGGACCACCGTGGAATCCGACAACTCGGCATACTGTTGATGATTCCAAAAAGATGCTTCGGACGGACATCTTCAATTTAGTAGCCATACTGCTAGACCATCTTGACAGCGACATCAAATTAGCAACTAAGATTAAAGTTTTTTGTGTGCAGGCAATCAGTAAGTGATAATCTTATCCCAGCACCTTCCCCTCCACTTTCTATTTACTTGCATGATACTTTGCTACTGCAGGTACACGGCTGACACTCTATGCCACGAATATGTGCATGGATGGTCGCTTCCTGGTAACAGAGCTTGCAACTGTCATCATTCCTTTCTCCTTCAATGCACGTGTCCAGTACAAGTCCGTTCTCCGTATGATGGGAATCCTCCACGTATGTGTTTTGAATTTGTGCAGTTCTGTCATGTAGACCTGTATGTAACCTGTAATTCCCTATTCATTTTTCACAGGATGAGTTTGAGAAACAAGAGAAGTTGCTTGAAGAAATGAATCGTCATGTCTTGCGCTTTGAAGGAAGTACTGTTCGACAAGTGCTAAACGTGCCAAAAGGAATGGTAGCTAGCCCAGTTAGATCCAGGCCTTAGAACAGATGTTAGTTTTCTCATATTGGTAGCGACGCGTCAACACAACAACTGTTTTATGACACTTGATTGAATCATTCTAATACAGACAGAACTTTATGTGGGTGTTTGAGATAACGTTCTACTCAGAATAAAAAAATGTGGCTTGATTCATTGTTGCTCAAAGTCTATAGGTCAAAGTTTACAAAAAAATTATCGTTATCAACTTTAATGCCAAACATTATAATCAGAAAGGGGTCGTCAGAAACGCATTACAGAAACGATACTCCATTACAAAGGGGACCATTAGATTGAGTCTTACTCTCTGAAAGAAAGGCAAATATCAAATTCAGATAAGTGTTTGATGGCATGCCGCAAGCGTCACATATAAAAAGCTTACCAAAGTGTTTTCAATGACACGTCAATTCTCATATTGCGGCTTCAAAAAAAAACCATCGTCTTGAACGTGACTAAATCTGGCTTTTACGCGGATCTCATCATTCGACTTGGATATTACCAACGCTTCTGTTGTCGCCCGTCACTTGCATCATTCTTGTGCGCTATTATTCAATCCCTGGTTGTCTCTCGAAAGAGTGTGCAAAGCGATAAATAAATATATAAAGATAGCAAAACATTCCGGCTGAAAAAACTCTTGATGAGTCACTAGCTTCCACCGGTCTGCCGTCAGGATGGCAGGCAGAAACCTGGTGGCCTACCTGTACGAGCAGAAGGTTTACCGTCAGGATGGCAGGCAAGGTCATTCTGCTCGCACCTCTGCCCATCGATCGTCAGGATGGCAGACCGATAGGCAGGCATTGCTTCAAGGAGGTCACCGTCGAGATGGCAGGTGATGGTCTCCTCGTTGCACTTCCAGCAGCGTCTGCCGTCAAGATGGCAGGCAAGACGTGTGGGTAAAAAAAGAATGAACACCATCGCATCGCGAACGCGAATATCCCTCATCAGATCTGCAGATCGTTTGTACCACGGTAACGATAATAATAAAATTATTATTGTCGTGACCGACATGGCGCTTGTAGAAGTCCTCCCCCCGGCAATTCTGGTAGAAAATTTGCGTATGGTTATGTGATTGAAATTATATTATTATTAATTATAATAAAGATAAAGAATTCTCTTAATCGAACTTCCGTCAATTTTATTGTTGGTTGACATCCAATAAATTAAGTATTTTCGGAAAATACGCAAATCTCTGACTGTTGCTCGCTAGAGTCATCGTTTGTATATTTTATATTTCTGCATTGACTAAATCAACGATTTGTTCAAATGATAATGGTTCTTCCCACAAGAACATCGAGTTGTTGCATAACATTTTCTAAACAGTCGAGCGGTCTAAATTTTCTCATTAAAATAGTTTGTTATTTCGCCATGCTTCGCTTTCGGATGTCGTTTAGTATTAGTATATTCACAAATTTCGCGTTTATTATCTAAATTCGGTCGGAATCTTGTTTTACATAAACTCTTGCACGCTTTGGACATTGTGAAGTTAAAAAACACGTAAGTATGTTTAAAGCGATATGGAATTTGGAATAGTATTATAACTCTATTTAAAGCTGTAACATGGTTTTGTACGCTATACGAATTACGTATTGTCATACTATAATGTTTTTGCTTATTTAACCTTTTGACATTATAAAGCTGTGTAGCTTCTTGCGCAGCAGGTTTCATACTATCTAGTATATTCATAGGCTGTCCAGTGCAAGGATATTTGTAACACAAGTTTTTGAAACACGACTACTATGATTTAACCCTGCCATGATAATTTATTTTCAAAATGGGAACTGAAATTCATAGATTAATAAGTCCCAAAGTTTTGTCTTGACAAAACGGACACGATAACTCACTAAAGGTTGCCTACCATAAATGTCTTATTGTCTAATCATTGAAGAAGTTGAAATTTCGGGATATACTTCCTAGAATCGTCAATTTACAAGGCGTATTAATCTGAAAAAAATAAAACCATTTCCCCTCCATTTCCTATTAAACGCGTAAATTCAGAAAACAGTTGAATATAAACAGTATCGCTTCTAATTAATACCGCTCTTTATATTTATAGTGCCAAATAATATAATAATCAGCCGTTTTAATATTAATTAAGTAAAGTACATGATATATAAATTATAAATGTGCAGTAAATCGACTTCTAGGTGTTATACAGGAAAAGTTACTCATTGGTCGAAGCTTACGGATATGATTGTGGAGATCCCTCTACTTTTGATGTCACAAATGGATGATTCCGTAATTCACTGGTTGATGGTCGTTTTGTGTGATCGGGTTCGAATGTCTTTTTTAAAAAGTCTTTAGCATCATTTGAAATGTCCTCTGGGATTTCAGGCGCACACGAAGATCCAATCTAACAAAAAAGACCCGGAATAAGAAACCAAAGTCGGAGAGGGAAAGGACAAATCATACTATTATCGATAATTTTGATTCATAACACGTACCTTGAACACTGCTTGCGCATAATGCAAGGTCGGGAATGGACGTTTACCAGTAAATAGCTCAATTACCAAGCACCCAAGTGACCATATATCTGCTTTCGTCGTGTAAGTCGTTTGTTTAACCACTTCCGGAGCCATCCAGTAAACAGATTCTTGAAGAGATGGACGGTGTGCCGTTGTCACGCTCATAATTTCTGCATGAGGTTGCAGAAATAGCCAAAGTTATAGTCGCGACAAAGCAACGAATGAACGGACAACATACGAGAGTAAAAGTTACACACCCTCTTTCATTTCCTTGGAAATACCATAGTCCGAAATTTTGGTTACCCCTTTGTTATCCACTAGATTAAAAGTTAAAATTTAGTAGCCGAAATCTTTATAACTGAGACTTGGAGAGGCCGTTAATACTTACCAAATATATTAGCAGCTTTGATGTCTCTGTGAATGATATCGCGCTGATGAAGATAATCCAATCCTCGCAAAATTTGCTTCACAAAGCTTCTAGCAAGGGATTCTTCCAACGGTCCATAATCTTTTATTATCTCCGAAAGTGGTCCAGGCACATATTCTGAAATGATGCAGAGACAGTTCTGATCGTATTGAAATCCTATAAAACAAAAAATTACAATAAGTAAAATTGGTGTCTGCAACATCGCGCAACAAGCATTCCAAATGCTGGTTTCATAAATTTTCGTATCCAAGAGTTAATGCATGCATAAAATGCAAGACAGGAGAATCCCTTACCGAGATATTGAACAAGATTTTCGTGTCGAAGTTCTTTCAGGAAAGAAATTTCTCTTTGTAATCCATCCAACTGAGTAATCATATTAATGGTTGATCAAACGCGCGCATTTGCTGTCATTCACAACAATCTTACCATAGATTGTTTTTTGTCCTCCTTTTCAGATTGTCCGATCGGAAATTCAACTTGTTTGACAGTCATCAACTCACCATTAACTACGTTAAGGCCGAGATATACATTACCAAACGGGCCGCTGCTAATGAGTGCTCCTTTTATCCATTTAAACGTAGGTGCGGATGGATCTGTAATGGTAGCGTGTCAGTAACTGAGATATTGTTTTGTGCAACAAAGACTGCCAACATATGTTCATTTACTCTATATTCAAATAAATAGAATAGCTCTCTTTTTCCTACCTGCTGCTTCTTCGTCATCAGAATTCCAGTATTCAACATCGTTCTCCATAAACGTAGAACCGTCAGTTTCTGGTTGTTCGATAGACTTGAAAATCAGACATCGGCCACGGATCAAGATGGGACAAGGGTAACACACAGCAGTTAGATTATATAGTGTAACGATAGTGCATAGTTGCAATTGTAGAGCCAATAGTAAGCAATATAATTGTGCTTATTGCCGAATGGATTTGCCTGACCAAAATATCAAACCCTATTACAAAGATGTTATTGAAAAATATTTCCATTACCCTTTAACAAAAGAATTCCATTACAAAATATAGTGATTACAATCAAACCCCATTGTACCGGAGTTTGGGATTACTCGGTATAGCGAGAGATTCGGTATAACGAAACGTTGCAGATAAATATTTTTATTTCAATTATGACAACTAGATACAGTTCGCGTATTCCTCCAACTTTTAACGAGTTATTTGAGCAAGAAACACTTTGATTTAGGCACAGGAGTAGGACCAATTATTATGTACGAGTTCTTGATGGATGTATCTCTTTTCGCCATTTAAACCAACAATGAAGAAGCGTTTGTCGTTATGCCTCAGCCAAGAATTAGAAAATAAGCAGCAAGTTTGTTTTGCGTTTGTATGTTTAAAACACGATTACACTAAATAAAATAAAAATGAATACGGTAAAACACATAGCCTTGATATTTGCATTACACTCTGCAATTACTGCTAAGAAAATCAATAACAACCAAGCCGTAAAGCCTACAAATAAATACCTTTCTTATCGTAAGCAAATCATGTTTGTATGATTGTAATTGTTGAATCTGTCGGATGTGCAACAAGTTCTTGATAACATCTAGCGATGCCCGCTCGCAAATTTGGTTTAAAGAACTGCTTTAATATCGCAACGCCGGTTCGTTCGGTACTAACAATAATAAGAACTATAGTGGGGTGAGTAACTAATATCACACAGTCAAGGACCAAAGAAGAACGTTCACAACAGACGTAATTACAAGTATAAGGGCCGGGGTACCTAAACGAGTAAATACGCAAGCTGCGGCCACGATGCGCTTTCAATTCTATGGTCCCTGTATCCGATTCACCACAGTCCGACCGAGCTGTTACGCTACAGTCGGTTTTTCGGAACGGATATCGAACGTTCACAACGAGTAAATCATTCAACAGTCAGGCCCCCAACGACAACGTAGTATATTTTCACTCCCAGCATCATTGAGTTTAAAACCCAACTTCGTCGGAGAACCACGATTGCCAACGTATCCTATTCACCACAAAGCCCGATTTAACGTAGCTTTTTTTCAGCGACAGAGTTTTGATCGAGTCAAAACCCCGACTTACACCTAGTGGCAGCGTCCCTTCAGATACGTACCCGACAGGTAAACAATCTACCGGAGTGGCCCGATGCGCTTTCGAAGATCCGGTTTTTACACCTAGTGGCAGCGTATCCCCTCGGATACAAACCATCAAACAGCTACTCAGTAAGATTTCTCACCTTGTCTTCAAACGTCTTTCTCTTGTTACAAAACGCGTCTTTTAACAAAATACGCGTCGTTGGTAGTAAGCCTTCTTCACATTGGCCAGTTTCCTCAAGTCTTGGCGTCGGTTTGAGTAAACAGCCTTGCTTGTTATTAGAGGACTAAAAAAACGGGAAGAAAGTAGTAACGCGTCTTGCAAAAGTAAAATGAAAAAAAAAAGTTGTTTCTTTGAAGAAGAAGAAGAAGAAGAAACGAAATTAAGTGTATCGAAAAAATTTTTTGTTACGCCTTTTTATGTAATACGGATTCACGTCACGCAATCACTGTTTCAACCAACCAATACAAATGCTACGAAAACGTATGATTAGATATTAATATATCGTATGACAAAGTAGCATATGACGGAAATTTGTGCGACTGATAACTTCCTGCAACCAATCATTGTAATGTCACGTGAAAACTTTCGCTATAGCGAGACTAGTAACAATACAAAAATCCTGCGCTGGTAACGGTATAAAGCAACTTTACTGCTAAAATCCGGTATAGCGAGTGAATTTTAAATATTAAAAAACGGGGGAAACTGCAAAATTTTCTCCTTTAACTTTCTTTAGAATGGTTCTAATTTTGTCATAGTTCTTGGGTTTCATAGTGGATCTGATGTTCATGTATTTTATTTTTATATAGAGATAGGCATAATGGAATACACTGTAAAAGGTTTTATGATACAAATTTAAACATGCAAATAAAATTTACTTTAGCTTGAGCACAAGCTATTGCCATGCCACTAAAGAAAAGCCCAAATGTCATCAACTACTTTAGTTTCTGCCACGTCAGTCGTTTTAGGATTATATAATTCCCAAAGTTCACTTTGTCTGGTTTTGTTGCAGGCTGTCGGCAAGTAAAAATGTACACTATTCAATGTACTTTATTTATCTTGTAAGGAATCTATCCGACCGTCGCACATCTGTGGTAGTGCATTATGTACGAATCAACTAGCTTCAACGTACACATGAACAGTGAATAACGAAAAATCGGCATTGTACCGACAGACCAACGTGGGGTCGTCTAAAGCGGGGGCAACACAAGAAATCAGTCCAATTAAATTTCAAAGACTGGCGAAGTTAACCAATCTAATTACAAGATCATGTGTAACATATAACGTTCAAACAAGCCAAAAAGAAGAAAATTCATAAATAACTCAAAATTTTACTATAATAACTAGCCTTTGACTTCTAAGTAAAAATGTTCAGCATAAATTTTACTCATATATATTAAATGTCAACAACTTAATTAAAAAATTGTTATTAATTTGATGATTTCATGTAAAGCGTATTCATGGCGCGTTGAAGCCTGGTGGAGTGTTCGTTATGCAGGATGTTAGTTTTTCACATGAACTTGAGAAGAACGAGAATCAAATTTTCGGTGTTGGGGTCTATACAGTTAGTACCATACATTGTATGGTGGTCCAGGTTTAGGAATGTCATGGAGAACGGAGAATGCTGTAAAATTGTTAAAGGAGACTGGATTTAGTAAGGTTGAAGACATCATTGAGCTTCCTCATGATCCCAGTCGTGTCTGGTATATCAGCTGGAAATAATAAATGAGAAGAAAACAAAGTATATAATCCAGTTTTAGCTGAGATTAGTTACCATATGTTATTTATATATTTCTTTTATGTATTATCAACTCGATTCACAACGGTGCCAGAGTTGACCCGTTAAATTCGCAATAAAGTCATTTGTATTAATTATGTTTTTTCAAAATGTAGTTATTTTGCTTATGGGGATGTAGATTTAAACAATCGGTCATGTACATAAATTAATAACTTGTTTTGTTGCGATAACGTTGTATACGCCAACGTACCGCGTCACGACTATTTTTAATGGTTAGCAAATCGGGTGTGCATCTTTTCAATGTAATCTGGTTATGATGATTCATTTCGTTAACGTTTAGAACTCTAAAGTGTTGGAATTGTTAACAATGACAGCGCTTTTCCACAGTACAAAACGTATCGCATACCAAAATTATGAAAATGAGAAAACATCTTTAGATTGAATGTCCATGTTACTCTATTACTTTTTTTGAAATAGACAATGTATGTGTTATTAAATCAACTCGATTCAGTATTCTTTTGCGCATTTAATTTACATACAACAATACAACTGTATGCAGTGCTGGTTAATTGGGACAGTGTATGTGAGAAAAGATTTATAATTTAGGTCCGTGTATTATCATGAGCAATAAATATTAAATTAGATGACGTTTTTGACTTTGAATTTAATAAATATGGTTTTGATTTTATTTCACGACTATCGTAACACGCCTCTTGTCTGAGAGAAAGCTCACTTTATTACATTGTTGCATTGTTGAATAGAATTTATGGTTTCGATTGATTCATCTTTTTAGATAAAGTTACTTCAACTAAAAATCGCACTCTTGAATAGCTCTCTCTATTTGTTATACTGCTGCACAAATCTTTAATTCAAGGAAAATGACTATTGTATTTTAGGTTATTTTTTCTGAGTCGGGGTCATTTTAATTGACAGCTGCTATTTCTTCTTTTCACAATTATGTACTGTATTTAACAGCAACAGAAACAGCGAATAATGAAAACGAAAGGACTGAATTTGAGCCGCATAAAATGTATCACACAAGTAATCTGCGCGTAATAGCCCCATAACCTGATTATCGCACGTTAAACAATGTTTTTCGAACACTTAAACGAGCGAAATGTAAAGCACACTAGCTTCGCGCTTACCTAACCAATTCCAACCAATGGGGAGCAGTAGTTTAACTTTTAAATTTCGCATCTCAGAGTTAGTATATCCCTTTTTACATCTTTGTTCGCAATGTCTACAGAGACTCTACCCCTTCCCCTTCCTTATCAGTCCCAAATTCTCACAGACATTCTTTCCACTTCTGCTCTTTTGATTCTCGCTAGGGGATTAGGAATTCGCCGGATAATGTGCGCAGTAATGAAATTATATTCTGGGCCCGAGACTTTAGTGATACTGTTGAATACTCCGCCACGCGAGGAAGAGCTTATTAAGGAAGAATTATTGGGAATGGGTGTTGGCAGACCTGGATTGAGAATTGTCAATAATGAATTAAGCGCAAAAGAAAGGTTAGTTGTCAAAAAAAAAAACAGGAACGGAGAATTCTAGTCGTTGATCTGATCAAATAACTGATTGTATTTTATGGACATTTCATTTTACATTGCGTAAATCCCATCTCAACGAAAGCAGAACTGACCTCTATTTATCGGGCGGAATATTCTCGGTTACATCTCGTATTCTTATAGTAGATATATTGACTAAACGAATATCAGTCGAAAAGATCACAGGAATAATAGTCAACCATGCTGAGAGGTGACGAACCCGGATTATTCTCTTTACTTATCAGTTTATGAACATTTTGTTTAAGACGTTTGTGGGCGTTATAGAGTGACGGAGACTTCTACTGAAGCGTTTATTCTGAGGATATTTCGACAAGAGAATGAGGTGACATGTTTGAACTAAAGTCGATTCTGTATTGTTGCACCCCCATCGACGGCGATGAATAAACCCAATTATTCGTTATTATAGAATGGTTTTATCAAGGCCTTTTCAGACTCACCGGAGGCCTTTGTGACTGGGTTCTCACCTCTTCAGACTACAATGCAGTGTCTTCAGCTTCGAACAGTCTTCATTTGGCCACGGTAATAATTGTATTGTTATGACATTAGATTTTAGAGATTTAATCGCGTCGTTTGATTCTGTTCTTCTAATTCTGATAATCTGTTAGTTTTCACGTTACAGTGAGAGAAAGCCTCGAAAGTCGCAAGGCAGACGTTGTGGAATTGTTACAACCGCTGTCAGATAACATGTCTCACATCCAATCTGCTATCGTGGAATGTATGGAGGCGTGTTTATCCGAGTTGAAAAAGGCAAACAGATCCGTAAGTTTTTGTGCCATAACGACACGCCTTTTTGTTTCCATAACTATAATCTGTTTTGTATAATTCATGTTATTTCTTTGCTTATGACAGATAGACGTTGAAGAATTGACAATAGAAAACGCGATGTTTCGCTCATTTGATAAATTAGTACGACACCAGCTAGATCCTATATGGCACCGCGTTAGCAGTAAAACTAAACAGATGATTGGAGACCTTAATATCTTACGTAAATTATTATCGTAAGTAGGAAACTCATGTGCTGCGAATATCGAACGAATTTTCACGTCGAATGATTACTGACGGTTATCCTATTGTAGGTATCTTGTTACTTACGATTGCGTTACATTTAACAGTTTTTTGGAAATGATAATTGCAAGTAACACTCCAACGTCTGTTATGTCTCAGCAACAGTCGCCATGGCTATTCACCGATTCTGCCAATGCTATATTTACTGTACGTACACGAGTCGTTCTTACGTTATGAGAGAAGCTATTGTTTACTTATCAAACCTTTACTCATCTGTAGCTTGCCAAAGAGCGTGTATATATCCGAAAATCAAATGCAGATGAGGATTCATCAGGATCGAGCGATAATTTTGACTTTCCTTCATTCGTCGAACCGGTTCTTGAGGAACTGCCGAAATGGAGACTGTTGAGCGACGTCCTGTACGAGATAGAACATGAAACGGAAGCAATCAATGCAAAAAATATTGATGACGGTAAGAATGAGATTCTTACTTGAACTGTTCACCGAATGCAATATATTTATTACATAATTGATATAGGTGATAAATCAAACGTAATCTTAATAATGGCTGGATCTGAACGCACATGCTCACAATTACGCGAATATTTAACTGTTACGAATCACGGGCAGCATGACATAGGAGGGAGCAATCTCATGCTTAAAGATTTACTCCGCAATTATTTCAGATGGAAAGGTGCCATCCCCAATGTTAACGAGAAGTTATTTAAGAAAGATGATGAGGGAACGAGTGAAAATGCGGCTGAAACCGATGAAGGAGGTAAAGACAAGAGAAAGTTCGACAGATGATGTGGATAAGCGTCGGTGAAAGTGAATAATCGAGCATTTTTATACTTTTCAGGTATAAAACAGAAATACCATCGAGGACGGCCACCACCATACAAAAGGCGACGCGTGCGGGGAGGTTCTTCTTCAGCTGCGTCATCATCTCGACCCACGCCATCTACCATTGAAGAGGAAACAAAAGAAATTGTCTCATTGTATGGTATTGTTCATTCGATTCGCCTTCGCCAGCTTCTTTAGAAACGAGACTATATTAATATCATTACAAGTTTAAGGGCTGGTACAGCGCCGACAGTCACTTCACCTTCACACCATTCTTCATACTATAATGACGAATTCGATGCAGAAGCGTTCGCACAATATTTCGACGTGATCTCACCCGACTCGTTAGTCATTATCCGTCCATATTCGAATGACGATGATGATCGGTTACTGGAAACGGTGAAGCCAAAGTTTATCGTGATGTATCAACCCGATATCGGTTTTATACGACGTGTTGAGGTACTTGTATGACTCGAGTGGCAGGAGGAGGACGTGTTTGATCGTATGATTACTGTTTGAGAAGAACATTGGGAATAATATGTATATAACAGGTCTTTCGTGCTTCCAATCCCGGACGAAATACTCGAGTTTATTTTCTAATGTACGAAAACTCGGTTGAAGAACAGATTTATTTGAGTAGTATAAGGATGGAGAAGGAAGCGTTTGAGAAAATAATTAGAGAAAAGTCGGTGAGGATCCAGCACTTTATGAATGCATTAATCTGGGCATCTCGAGTTACTCGCTAATTATGGAATTTATCTTGTATAAACAGATAATGGCAATTCCACTCGGACAAAGTGCTGCCAAATCTATTAGCCCAGATGACGCGTTTCTCCGAACCATCAACACCCGTGTTGCTGGTGGGCGTTCTCTTAATTACGAAACCAAAGTACGTTGAATTCACTTTTTATCCGATGTATTATTCTGACATCTACGGTACAAAATAACTTACCCTGCTTGCTTTAATATATCACGATTGATGAAACAGGTGATTGTTGATGTTCGTGAATTTCGTAGTTCACTTCCTTCAATTCTTCATGCATGCGGAATGACAATTGTTCCGTGCACTCTCCAAGTGGGTGATTATATTCTCTCGCCTAGGATGTGCGTTGAGAGAAAGAGCGTGTCAGACTTGATAGGGTCTCTGAATTCTGGCAGATTGTAAGTAGGGTTAGAGAGTTTATGAGATTCAGACTGCTATAAGTATCGGGTAGTAAACGATTGCATTTAGATATACCCAATGTGAAGCAATGTCAATGTATTACAAAGAGCCAATTTTATTGATCGAGTTTGACCAAAATAAGGCATTCACTTTGCAAGTAAGTATATCAGGTTGCAATACGTTTATAAGGTATACAATGTTATTAATTCATCTTTACAATTACGAAGGGAGTCAGCGACCTGAAAGCTGATATTGGGGTGACGGATCTCTCTTCGAAGCTTGTCCTCCTCACACTCGCATTCCCGCGTCTTGCAATTATCTGGTCATCTAGTCCCCACGCCACTGTTGAAATATTTGAAGATTTAAAAGTATGTAACCGTCTCGGGTTTTTTTTAAAGTCTGTTACACTCGCTATACAAAACAAGTCTAATTGTTATTGCCTGTTTATAGAAATCCCATGAAGAACCCGACGCTGAAAAGGCCATGGCAATTGGAGTAGAAGAAGGAGAGGAAATCGATTCTATGTATAATGTGAATTCTCAGGATGTCTTGCGTGCTCTGCCCGGAATTACATCCAAAAATTATAAACGTGTCATGACGCAGGTGGAAAATTTAAAAGAGTTGAGCGAAATGACATTGGAACAGTGTCAGAAATTAATCGGAGATAATAATGGAAAGATGCTGTATGAGTTTTTCAGAAATAATGTTAAGGACTAAAAGTGAATGCGGTTTGGGAATTCAGATCATATGTTGCAATGGGTAGGATATCTGTTGCCAAATTGAAGGGAATTTTATGCAACCCAGCCTAGCACCATATACCGTGGGCAAAGGGCGAGTCATAGAATTGTTGAGATTAATGATTGACCAATAGACAGACTGACTAGCTGTAAAGTGTCTTTTCGAATTTCAATTAATATTTGGATTTAATAACAACACCAAATTATAATTATCGGATCATAAAACGTAACGAATAGAAAATCCGTGCTATAATCATTCCACTTTACGCAGTCCTGTAGTAACATTGTCTGTTAACATCAGGTCATGTATTTATTTAGACATCAATAGTCAGAACATCTTAATATCATTCTATGATAATTTACGATTGTAACAGTTAGCCTCTATTTAAGGTTATAACTAATTGTTAGTTAGAGGATTGTACTGAACTTTTACCGTTAATAAAAACGATTCATCATGCCGCCAAAAAGTAAGACGATTTTGACAGATTCGCAAAAATACGAACTTTGCCTGTATGCTCGCGATAATAAGAAATCTCGTGCGGAGTATTTTTACTACAACAAGAAAATGCATAAAAATGGAATATTCTTGAGAGATATATTACACTCACTACCAAAAAGTATTGGCCGAAATTCGCCGATCATCGCAAAAGCTTGATAAACAGATGAAATAAAAGTT